TTATGGGGATGATTACATGTTACCCTCTGGTAAACATACAAAAAACCATGGAAAATCACCATTTTTAGTGGGAAAATCCATTATAAATGGTCATTTTCAATAGCTATGTTGACATAACCAGAGGGTATCTCTCTCGTTGTACGAAGATGTTTGCCACCACCGGCTGCAGGAAGCGACTACGAAGATCTGAAGCCTTGCTGTTCCATGACCAACTCCTGGGCAGCCACAGGCATCAGCTTCGACCAGTCCGGCAACACGGGAAAGGATGGGACCACTGGCACTGCCAGCGGCGGTGGTGACCTGGCTATCTTCCAAGTCGGGGCTGGAACCGTTAATGTGCAGATGGTTTGAATGATTTTGAGATGTTTTGAAGATATTGAAGGGATGAGCTAATGATGAGCTATCATGAACTATCCATTTTATTTGACATGTTGGAATAGATTTATGAAGTACTTGGATGATATTGGGTTCTGCGATGATAGTGATTTCTGAAAATTGAGGTGTCCCAAAAAACATTCGTTTCATCGTTCGAAATGACGAAAATTAGATTTGGGAATTCCCATTTTGTGATGGGGTAATGAACAGCCTGTGGTTTGGGTTGATTGGAGGGTATGGGGCCTGATGGAAGTAGTAGAGGCTCATTATCGTGGAAAGTTGAAGCCGTGAAAGCGACTCATCTTTGGACCATGGCCAAACTCGCAGTCCGTCGGAGTGGACCAGTCATGGAGAGTGACCGGCGCTGGGGGTTCCCATTAGATTGAGATGATATTAAGATGCTAGCATGATGTTATGTTTTTTGTTGGTCCATTCCTCTCCACGTGTTGCAGGTTCAACCATAGATAATGCCTTTTTTCGGGTGCCATCAGTGCCATCCTTGTTTGTTGTAGCATAGATTGATTCGGAAATTGGATTGGTTATGGTGATGTTGATATTGGCTATGATGATGACAACAATGCTGCGTCAGCCGCAGGCAAATACGTACTGTTGCTCCGGTACCTCACCAGTTTGCCATTGAATATGGCCATTTAGTTCGATGATTTACCCATTCACCATGGTGATTTTCCCTAGTTATTTTATGTTATTTTAGTTTGCAGAAAGATTAATCCCCTTAAGACCAAGTAAATCCATTTAAATTCCATTAAACCCATCAAAACCATTCAAAACCCAATTAAATCTACATAATTAAATCCCATTAAATCCCATTAAATCCCATTGAACCTAATTATATATATATATAATTAAATCCAATCAAATTCCATTCAATTCTGTTAAATCCCTTTAAATCCTATCCCATTTCCATTAAGGTGGCACCGGTGGCACCAGTGGCACCGCTGACAAGCTCGGAACCTGCAGTGGCACGGATAACAAGGGCAAGGCTTGCCCTCCGGACTACGATGCGGAGCGACCATGCGACCATGCCCTCCAGGCGACCCACCCATGCGGAGCGACCCCTTGGGGATGTGGAAGATTTGACCAGAAAAATGTGGGGTGCCATGTCAAGCCCGGATTTTACTAAACCATTTTTTTTTTATATTGGTTTATGACTGGGGGGGTGGAACACCCCCGTCATTCCGTCATGAAGACTGAGACTTCAATGGTACCTTCCCAATGAAACAGCCGTTTGGGGGTTATTAATCCAGGGTTGACATTATGTATATTAATCCAGGTTTATTAATCCAGGGGTTATTAATCCAGGGTATGTTGGAATGACCGATGAGTTGTACAAGTTGTGTCGTTTTTTTTTTGGTTAAGCCCCAAAGGCCCGACCATGGGAATGCCATCACGACCCATATGTATCCGTTGGATGAGTTGTGCGGAAATTGAAGAATTCCCACAGCCACAACCAGTATAAACAATGGCAACTGCTGTTGTATACCCTCTGGTTATGTCAAAATAGCTATTGAAAATGACCATAGAAATAGTGGATTTTCCCATTAAACATGGTGATTTTCCATAGCTATTTTGACATAACCAGAGGGTAAATGTCGGGCAATGGTGATTTTCCATCATGCTTCAGCAACACTATAGGCATAGTATAGTCAAATGTAGTCACCCAGCTGGGCGACGTGCCGGTGCCATCGTCCTGCAGGCTGCACGAGCAGCCCATATTCCTCAACCACTGGGAACGCTGGATCTGGTGGAACCACGGCTGCTGGAAGTGGCAGTTATCAGTGGACCACTTCCAATGCATTGGGATACATGTGCCTTAGATAGAATGGTTGCGAAAAAAGGGGGCACGTATGGCACATTATGGCACTCTGAGATTTCGGCTTGTCTAAAGATTGGGTACCCCCAAAACTACTGTTTGATCATCATCATCATCATCATCATCATCACTATTTTTTGGCAAGTCCCCGCACATGTTGCAGCATCGTCCCCAAAATTGATGCAATGTATGACCAGAGTAGAGCTAGATAGCTGGTACAGCTTGACTGTATATCAAGCTGATTTGCTGCCGCACCCGCAAACGAAACAGAAGATGTGTTGACCCATCTGTTCAACTGTTCTGCACGCTGAACTTGGACAGACAGTTCTAACCCGATCATTTTCAGGGGGTAATATGATTTATTTCATCACACTCCCCAAAAAAAGATAGAAGGGTCATATCCAGCTAAAGTGACAAGTTCATGGAATTTCTATGTTTTGCCTCTTCTGCAGGTTGCCTAGAATATTATATATCTAACATTATCTAACATATATATATATGTATAATTATATTTACTTATTTTATTTATTTATTTATTTAGTTATTTATTTATGTATCATGAAAATTATATAGTCTATATAATCCCACCCCTCTGTTATTAAACACCCCAATTGCATGGTCACTTTTTGAAATGTGGAGATCACGAAAAACCATGGTTTCGTCTGGGGAAGCCATGGGATGCCCCCAGGTGCTCCAGCGACCTGGACCTCACAGGAAGAGAACTGACCTGTGGCCAGGCGGAGTATCCGGCGGGGCAAAACGAGGGCGCCGACGCTTGGGCGGGACATGTTTCGGGACTTCAAAAGGGACGCGACACATCAACGGTGGCTGGGCAGTCCCCAACGAAACCACCGGAAATCAGAGGAAAATGTGGGAAAATCATAGAAAATCCCATCTAAATATGATGAAATATGATGAAATATGGAGGTTTTGATAGTTTTGATGGGAAAATCATCGAAGTGCCATCAACGCCATGAAAATTTCCAACTTTAAAACAATCAAAACCATCGCAAAGTGGATGTTCCAATTTCCCATTGCCATCAAAACCGGAGGGGAACCCATCAGTGAGTTCACCCATCCGTGGCATCACCCACGAAATGACGAAATGGGGCTGTTTGTTGTGTGTGTTTGTTGTGAATCATGCAGTAAACCCAATAATGAACCTGAATTGGGGGATGATTTATAGATGGGTCTACCTGAAAAATAAATCGTGAAAAGGATGTTTGTGGGTCATTAGTGACCCTATTTTGGTAAGTTTTTTTTTGTAACTGGGCCAAACACATAAAGTGCATTCTCTTCAACTCTAGGATGTATCCCATTGTGGCGTGAAGGGGCTGCATCAGCTTGATGATTCTTGCTGGTTTCAAACAGTGTTCATTGTCCGTGTCTACAGAGGATGATTCATCATCCAATTACCACATTCCTGTTGTTCTTAATTACCCTCTGGTAATTTAACAGTTTGCTATTGAAAATGGCCATAGACATAGTGAGTTTTCCCATTAAAAATGGTGATTTTCCATAGTTTTTTGTATGTTTACCAGAGGGTAATGTAATGTTTGTTTGTTACAGATTGAAACCAAGATCTAGCAACATCAAACCACAAGGCCTGCAAATGATTGTTGGTCTATTACCTGTTTGTAGTTCTTTCATCGCCACAGACCATGGATTGTACCTAGTGAACTAAACCGGCTTATGCTTAGCTAAGTTGGTTTATAAGCCGGTCAACTATGCTTTATGGGGATGAAAAAGGATGAAGAAGGTATAGATAGGTTTTGTTGCACTCAATAGACTCTAAGTTAGCCAACATCAATTGATGAAAAAAACCTAATATATACATATACATATATATATATACATATATATATACATAATATATATATATAATGCACCCCGCCCACATAGAATATGCGTTTTTCCGATTATGCAGTTGAACTCGAACGAAACTCCACTTAGAATATGCCCCCATTTCGTGCTTATTTGTTTTCTCCCCATTTGAATTATCAACATATCACCCATACTGCAGCATAAATGGACATAAATGGACATTTTTCAATTTTTCACCCCACTAATTTTCGTTTGAATTATCAAAATATCACCCATATTGCAGCATAAATGGACATAAATGGACATTTTTCAAATTGTAATCCCACTAAAATCCTTTGAATTATCAACATATCACCCATACTGCAGCATAAATAGACATATATGGACATGTTTCAAATTTTCACCCCACCAAAATCCTTTGAATTATCAAAATATCATCCGTACTGCAGCATACAAGAACATTTTTCAAGTTTTCACCCCACTATTTTGTTTTGAATTATCAAAATATCACCCATACTGCATTATAAATGGACATAAATGGTCATGTTTCAATTTTTTCACCCCACTAAAATCCACCAAAACACCATCAAAATCCTTTTTGAAATTGTTCAAGCTCACCTAAAGGTACCCACCTTGACCGGTGTCGAGGAACTATGAAAGAAAGAAAATATTTTGCAATGAAAACTAATGGACTTAGGTGGCATTCCTTCAAAAATTGATGAGTATTTTCACTGGGGACCTATTTTCTATGTATGTAGTTCTGCAAGGAATTTGATCCTTTCCATGTATAAGGTCATATAATTATCATATACATAATTCCCTTTGGGGAGCAGCAATCCTAGATGTCTGAAATCCGTAAACTGGAACGTTTCAACAAAAAAACAGGTCCCCCGAAATGATCAATTTCTTTTCATATTGTATTAAAAAAATGAGTTTTTCAGGCTCATCGAAGGGTACCCCCCACGACCGGTGTCGTAGAACTATGAAAAAAAAATATTTTGCAATGGAAACCAATGGACTTAGGTGGTATTCTTTCAAAAATTGATGAATATTTTTCACTGGGGACCTATATTCTATGTATGTAGTCCTGCAAGGAATTGGGTCCCCTTCATGTATGATTATTAAATACGTAATTCCCTTTGGGGAGCAGCAATCCTAGATGTCTGAAGTCCGTAAACTGGAACGTTTCAACAAAAAAACAGGTCCCCCGAAATGATCAATTTCTTTGCATATTGTATTAAAAAAATGAGTTTTTCAAGCTCACCGAAGGGTACCCCCCACGACCGGTGTCGGAGAACTATGAAAAAAAAAATGCAATGAAAACTAATGGAATTAGGTGGCATTCCTTCAAAAATTGATGAGTATTTTCACTGGGGACCTATATTCTATGTATGTAGTCCTGCAAGGAATATGGTCCCCTTCATGTATAATTATTAAATACGTAATTCCCTTTGGGGAGTAGCAACCCTGAATGTCTGAAGTCCGTAAACTGGAACGTTTCAACAAAAAAACAACTCCCCCGAAATGATCAATTTCTTTTTATATTGTATTTAAAAAAATGAATTTTTCAGGCTCATCGAAGGGTACCCCCCACGACCGGTGTCGTAGAACTATGAAAAAAAATACTTTGCAATGAAAACCAATGGACTTAGGTGGCATTCCTTCAAAAATTGATGAATATTTTCACTGGGGACCTATATTCTATGTATGTAGTCCTGCAAGGAATTGGGTCCCCTTCATGTATAATTATTAAATACGTAATTCCCTTTGGGGAGTAGCAACCCTGAATGTCTGAAGTCCGTAAACTGGAACGTTTCAAAAAAAAAACAGCTCCCCCGACATGATCAATTTCTTTTCATATTGTATTAAAAAAATGAGTTTTTCAAGCTCATCGAAGGGTACCCCCCACGAATGGTGCCGGAGAACTATGAAAAAAAAATAGTTTGCAATGAAAACTAATGGACTTAGGTGGCATTCCTTCAAAAAATTGATGAATACTTTTCACTGGGGACCTATATTCTATGTATGTAGTTTTGCAAGCAATAGGGTCCCCTTCATGTATAATGATTATATACGTAATTCCCTTTGGGTAGCAGCAATCCTGGATATCTGAAGTTCCTAAACTGGAACGTTTCAACCAAAAAACAGGTCCCCCGAAATGATCAATTTCTTTTCATATTGTATTAAAAAAATGAGTTTTACCCCCCACGACCGGTGTCGTAGAACTATGAAACATAATATTTTGCAATGAAAACCAATGGACTTAGGTGGTATTCTTTCAAAAATTGATGAATATTTTTCACTGGGGACCTATATTCTATGTATGTAGTTCTGCAAGGAATAGGGTCCCCTTCATGTATAATTATTAAATACGTAATTCCCTTTGGGGAGTAGCAACCCTGAATGTCTGAAGTCCGTAAACTGGAACGTTAAAAAAAAAAACAGCTCCCCCGACATGATCAATTTCTTTTTATATTGTATTAAAAAAAATGAGTTTTTCAAGCTCACCGAAGGGTACCCCCCACGACCGGTGTCGGAGAACTATGAAAAAACTATTTTGCAATGAAAACCAATGGACTTAGGTGGCATTCCTTCAAAAAATGATGAATATTTTCATTGGGAACTTATATTCTATGTACCCTCTGGTAATTTAACATAGCTATTGAAAATGTATATTCATAGTGGATTTTCCCATTAGAAATGGTGATTTTCAATAGCTATGTTAAATTACCGGAGGGTATGTAATTTTGCACGGAATAGGGTCCCCTTCATGTATAATTATTTTATACATAATTCCCTTTGGGTAGAAGCAATCCTGGAAATCTGAAGTTCCTAAACTGGAACGTTTCAATAAAAAACAGGTCCCCCGAAATGATCAATTCCTTTTCATATTGTATAAAAAAAAAATGAGTTTTTCAAGCTCACCGAAGGGTACCCCCCACGAACGGTGTCGGAGAACTATGAAAAAAAAACTAGTTTGCAATGAAAACTAATGGAATTAGGTGGCATTCCTTAAAAAAATGATGAATATTTTCACTGGGGACCTATATTCTATGTATGTAGTTTTGCAAGCAATAGGGTCCCCTTCATGTATAATTATTATATACGTAATTCCCTTTGGGTAGCAGCAATCCTGGATATCTGAAGTTCCCAAACTGGAACGTTTCAACAAAACAAAGGTCCCCCGAAATGATCAATTTCTTTTCATATTGTATGAAAAAATGAGTTTTTCAAGCTCACCGAAGGGTATCCCCCACGACCGGTGTCGGGGAACTATGACAAAAAACATATTTTGGCAATGAAAACCAATAAAATGAATGAATATTTTCACCGGGGACCTATATTCTATGTATGTAGTTCTGAAAGGAATTTGGTCTCTTCCATACAAAAGGGTGTATATGATATACGTACTTCCCTTTGGGGGGTAGCAACCCTGGATGTTTGAAGTTCCTAAAATAGAACGTTTCAACAAAAAAACCGGTCCCCGAAATGATCAATTTCTTTTAATATTGTATTAAAAAAATGAATTTTTCAGGCTCACCGAGGGGTACCCCCCACGACCGGCGTCGTAGAACTATGAAAAAAAACTATTTTGCAATAAAAACCAATGGAATTAGGTGGTGTTCCTTAAAAAAATGATGAATATTTTTCACTGGGTACCTATATTCTATGTATGTAGTTTTGGAAGCAATAGGGTCCCCTTCATGTATAATTATTATATACGTAATTCCCTTTGGGTAGCAGCAATCCTGGATATCTGAAGTTCCCAAACTGGAACGTTTCAACAAAACAAAGGTCCCCCGAAATGATCAATTTCTTTTCATATTGTATGAAAAAATGAGTTTTTCAAGCTCACCGAAGGGTATCCCCCACGACCGGTGTCGGGGAACTATGACAAAAAACATATTTTGGCAATGAAAACCAATAAAATGAATGAATATTTTCACCGGGGACCTATATTCTATGTATGTAGTTCTGAAAGGAATTTGGTCTCTTCCATACAAAAGGGTGTATATGATATACGTACTTCCCTTTGGGGAGTAGCAACCCTGGATGTTTGAAGTTCCTAAAATAGAACGTTTCAACAAAAAACCGGTCCCCGAAATGATCAATTTCTTTTAATATTGTATTAAAAAAATGAATTTTTCAGGCTCACCGAGGGGTACCCCCCACGACCGGCGTCGTAGAACTATGAAAAAAAAACTATTTTGCAATAAAAACCAATGGAATTAGGTGGTGTTCCTTAAAAAAATGATGAATATTTTTCACTGGGTACCTATATTCTATGTATGTAGTTCTGCAAGGAATAGGGTCCCCTTCATGTATGATTATTAAATACGTAATTCCCTTTGGGGAGTAAAAATCCTAGATGTCTGAAGTCCGTAAACTGGAACGTTTCAACAAAAAAACAGGTCCCCCGAAATGATCAATTTCTTTTCATATTGTATTAAAAAAATGAGTTTTTCAAGCTCACCGAAGGGTACCCCCCACGAATGGTGTCGGAGAACTATGAAAAAAAACTAGTTTGCAATGAAAACTAATGGAATTAGTTGGTGTTCCTAAAAAAGATGGTTAACTATTTTCGCTGGAAACGTGCAGAATTGTTATAGGAAAGTGAAGAATTTATATGGAAAAATGATGAATTTGTCTGGAAACATGAAAGAATTTATATGGAACAAATATGGAAAAGTGAAGAATTTGTATAGAAATGTGAAGGATTTATTAAGACATATATATATATATATGTATTTATATATATATATATATGGAAAAATGATGAATTTGACTGAACAAGTGAAAGAAATTGTATGGCAAAAATATGGAAAAGTGAAGAATTTGTATGGAAACGTGAAGGATTTATAAAGAAAAGTGAAGAATTTCTATGGAAAAATGACGAATTCGTCTGGAAAAGTGAAAGAATCTATATGGCCCAACGATATTCTAAGTATAGGTTTTTTGACGTCAACTGTATTCTAAGTATCCTGTTTCAAGTTCAATTATGGGGATGCCCTGGGAAGCCAAAATTTCAATTCCATATTCTATGTGGGCGGGGTAGATTATATATATATATCTTCCTTAATTTTGGTTGCGCATACACCATGTTTGCTGGATAGATCCAATATGTTAAATCCCAAAGACTTCGCACCTTTGCACGGTGCGCCCCGAGGACGCCACCATCGCTTGCAGCTCGGGCAGCATCGAATGCTTCGTTTTCGCCTCGGTGGGTCTGGTGGGCGGCAGCTGCAGCGGCGACCCCTTTGCGGAGGATCCCAACGATCAGTGGGCCTACATGCCGTTGAGCGTTTTTTGGAGAACACTTCTGGATTTTTGATAATTTTTGTTGAAGATACTAAAGGTCAATGCTGATCAATGAAACGAATATAGTTTAAAGATGTTTTAAGGTATTAAAAGATACGATTAATCCCTTCACCCTAATATTCAACGTCCCCCCTCCCCCCTCCCCCCCAAAAATAATAAAACCTAGGGGTAGTTGTCATTATTAGGGGGTATTCAATATTCGGGGGAGAAACTGGCCCCTAATATTACCCTCTGGTAAATTAACATAGACCCTGGCAGATAGGGGTTGGAAGACTAGTTTCCATTAACAATTGGCTATTTTCAGGGTCTATGTTTATTTACCAGAGGGTAACTTAAAGGCTTTAATTAATTTGAAAAACTGAACTTTTTGATTTCAACATCGATCATATTTCTTTCTAAATCTAATTGAAATATTGCCAAAAATTGGATTTCGAAGCTTTCCCCAAATATTAAATTAAAAACACTTAATTTAAAAAATCTCAAATTTCCGATTTCAAAATCGATTACATAAATTCCTTTCTAAATCTAGTTCAATTATTGCAAAAATTTGATTTCGAAGCTTTCCCCTAATATTAAATTTAAAGTCCTAATTAAGACAACTAAATTGTTTGAATTTAACAAACAGCCCCAATAAAAAACAACCCGGGGCTATCTAGTGTTTATTATTAAGGGGGTAGAAGAACCTTTAAATGGATATTCATTTTAAAATTGTGTTCGAAAGGGTATCAATTAAAAGTCAAAGAGACCAATCTGAAATTTGCCAAACCAAACAATCTGTTTTTTTTTTTTTTTTTAAGTAGAGTTTTAGGAATAGGGAGAGGGATTAATGGTCCATTTAAACCCATTTCATGGATTTATAAGATTATATACTGCCATTATATATACCCTCTGGTAAACTAACATAGCTATGGAAAATCACCATGTTTAATGGGAAAATCCACTATAAATGGTCATTTTCAATAGCTATGTTAAATTACCAGAGGGTAAGTTCAAATGTCGGGGAAACCATGGGAAAGCATCAGCGACTGAAGCTGCCGTTGACGGCCTCAGGTTGGCAACGCCTGTGTTGGTCAGAGCTCCTGTGCTGTCTCAGTGGGCGATGGCACGTTGAATGGCCAGGCGACTGTGGAGCTATGGCAGCTATGGCCCGCTATGGTCGGCCATAGCACTATATATAGGCTGATATCATCTGATATCAAGATAATGATGCTTGATGATGTTTGTACTAGGTATACTAGGTCATAGCCCCAAAGATATTTTTTCTTTGAGAATTAGCCTCTGGTAATGCCCAGATTCTGTGGCATCCCTGGATCAAACCTGTGAGGCCACCAGTCCTTCTACGGCTGGCTACGCGAAGAGCCACTCGCCGCCATGGAATGCCGGGGGTGGAAGATCCTTGAAGGTTTCGGAAGTCAAGGGAGCCAATGCTTCGGCTTCAAATGGTTTAGTTAGGCTTAGTTTATTATAGTTTATTAATATTTTTTTTTATAATTGTATATAAATATGGTTGATACATGTTTGTTAATTATTATAAATATTATTTTATAACTACTTATTCACGATTAACAATGGCAAAGAATGGCTCGTAACAGTTTTGCCGGGGGATGTGCAAATGCTTCACCCACAAATGAGCCAACGTGTTGGTGTTTAATGGTGATAAGAATTCGATGGATTGGTCTAAGGGAAAAATTTCAGGAAACCCCCATACTTCATGGGAAAATCTATGGTTTCCTCTAGGTTTTCCCTTAAGCCAGTCCATTGAAGGATGCGTCGAAAGGATGTTAAAAAACAAATACTTGAAATGGACAAATCTAGAAACATGGATGGACATCACACCAAAATGTGCCCTGGACAGGAATTGGTAAGCAACGAGTATCCATCTATAAGAGGAACCAAAAGTTTTGGGAAACATCCATTTGAAACCGATGTATGATTTGACATGCTGGAATTTCATGGCGGTCATACTTGGATCTGAGCTTGGAGGGAAATTAGGATGGCAACGATGGCCGGAAGCAAGGTTGATTTCCCCAGCACATGCCAGGGGTATTTGTATGTATTTGGATGTCGATCAATATTGGGGTGCCCAAAATGGATGATCAAATACACACGATGAGCAAAAATCCATGGTCTGATGTCCATTGTCTAAACCATGGCATTACACAACTCATGAAACATTTGAAAACTAGGTCTTCTTTTTTGTTACATATATAGTCTCATATAGTATCATATAATGACATATATTTACATATTATTTACCATGTATAGTTACCATGTAGTTACCATTTCTATCCATTTCTTGCAGAGTTCCCAGGTAAATTCAAAGGCATTGCTTTGTGCTCCACATCCTCTGCATCCGTATCCACCTCTGCATCCAGCGGGGCCAGCGTTTCGACGACCGGGTCCAGCAGCGTTTCGGAAGCACCGAGCTCAACGACGGGGTCCATGGAGTCTACGACAGGCCCCAGGGATGTGTGGGATGTCCTGTCCCACCCAAAATGGTTGGTGAATGGGGTGGTTTTGGGATGGTTATGGATGGTTTATTCATGGTTGTTTATGATTAATTGATTTATGGGTTTACCACACTGGAAACTAGGGCGCTGGGTTTCTTGTTTCTAATCGCCTCTTGATTTCCGAGGTAGATTTTATGATGAGTGCGGAAGCAAGACAGTTGGAACACACAGTGGTCAGCATGATTCATGGATGTCGCCTGTCGGATCCTGTCGGATCGTGAGGGTGATTGTTTATTTGTTTCAACTTCGGGAACCAACCGGTTGACATTGAGATACATGGACTTTGGGATGATTCGGGATGGTCCAGTGGTATGTAGAACTTATCTACCCTCTGGTAAACTAACATAGCTATTGAACATGGCCATGGAAATAGTGAGTTTTCCCATTAAAAATGGTGGATCTTTCCATAGTTTTGTGTATGTTTACCAGAGGGTAGTCCATCTATGTCGTCCTCTTGCCTTGTCTGTCAGCACCGGAATGGACCGTGTATCGTCTCTGGTTTTTCGCAGGCACTGATGCGGAGGATGGCGAGAGCACTGGGACCACGACCAGAGACAAATTGGTGACATCAGCTGGACAAAGTTTCCAGTTTTTGGCCTCAATGGTGGTTGCAACCCTGGCAACCCTGTCTGTAGCATGCCACTGAGTGAAGGCCCATGATATGCTCATGAATCATGAATTTACTGACAAAGGCATGTAATCGGTGACATGCAATTCAGATTTTCTACTAGAATGATCAGTCTTCTACTTCCAAAGCAAGTGTTAGATTTCTCCAGGGTGTGAGTCAACAAGGGCCCAGGTAAAGACATGAGAACGTGGTAGCCATTCTCGAATGGGAGCCCTGGTAGCCCAGGCCAAGTGTTGAAATATGCATTGATCAACCTCACAGACCATGATGAGACCTGCATGATGAGTATTACCCTCTGGTTATGACTAACATAGCCATGGAAAGATCCACCCATTTTTAATAGGTAAACCATCTATTTCTATGGGCCATTTTCATCCATTTTCCATGGCTATGTTAAACAACCAGAGGGTAATGGTTATTGGTCCTGCCTATCCATGGGCAGGCACTGAAATAGTTTGTGGTGGCTACTCCTCACCCCCCAGAGGCGACCCCCTGGTTCAGAATAGGTTCAGCCGCTGATCATTGTGTAGAACAACACATCTGTTGGTTGGCAGTTTCCATTATGTTTGTATTTACTGTATATATAATATAAAATATATATGTATATGTATGTATTCATGTATATATGTATATATATATATGTATGTTATATCAACATTACTTTCGTCATCTTTCATCCATCACCATCCAGCCTGACATCAACTAAGACATGTGATCCTCCAATCTTGGGGGGGAGTTGCCACATGGGGAAGGCCGGGCCTTAGGGATGATCCACGCCGTTCCAAAAGCCGTTCCAAAAGCCGTCAACGAGGTCGGCTTTTGGATTGCTTAGAACTCCAAGGGTTGGGAAATTGTTCACTTCGGAGAAGCTTAGAATCCTCAAAAAACCATCCTTTTCATACTGTGGATGGGCCAGCGAAATCCGAATCACCAGTTGATAGGTCGTTGATCCCAATACTGATAGGCTTTCAACCATCCTTTCGGTGGTGCAGGATTTCTTCCATATTTCTTCCATCCACAGTAGATTCTAATTCTGGGGATGATCCCATGCCGCCCCCGGGATTGGATGATGATAAACGCTGGTTGGTTAAGAAAGAAAATTCCCCGTTCTTGGATGTAACCACCAATATATAAAGGGTAGTATAATCATGTATAATCCCTTATGATCATCAACCAACCAGGGTTTAGCAGCCACTGCTCATTTGATCAAATTTGGGTGCCAAATTGTTCCAAGTGCAGACATTACCCGGCTGGCCATGTTGATTGACTACGGCGACACGTCCAAAACGTGATAAACAGAAAGTGGCATCCGGTATCCAAATCCAGTTGTTTAATCATCGAATGTTACATAACCCACAGGATCCGTGTATGGTTAATATGGTAACATTTACCATCAATATACCCCCAATGTTAGCATATATACCATACATGCATCCTATGGGTAATTTTCCTAGATCAACGATACATGGCCATGAATTTGGCGGTACCCATTTCAGCGCAACTGGTGACCAACGCAAGACCCTGAGGGTGCGAGCTGGGATTCCCATAGACCCGGAAACCCTGGCAAGGCTGAAAAAGGGGCGATGGCAAGGGGGCTGAATTAAGGGTCTCAGAGCGTTGGCTACACTATATTGTACCATATTGTAGACCAATTAGGATTAATATAGGACTAATAATTGGGTATACAATTGGGTATAATAGGACGAATAATTGTAAAAATCCATATTATACCTGTTGCCCCCCCTTAAGAGCCCCCCAGTAAACGAACAGTTTGCTATGGAAACTTCATGGGTTTCCCTTGGGCCAGGGTTCCACGGTGAATCCATGTGAATCCCAACATGTCTATGATTAATTTCAGTAGAAACTACTTCATCCTGCACATGTGGATGACCATAGCCGACATAAATATGCATCCATTAGATCATTGGCATCCAGTCGCGCCACCATTCCACCCTCTCCACCTTCTCCCAGTAGCACGAGGTCGCAGCTGTACAAACCTGAATTGAAGATGATCAAGCGACTGGTGGGGCACCAATTGATCCAGCAGAACCGGTCCCCTGGAACCGAATCCACTGTTCTGTCGGTGTCGAAAAAAAGTCTTTGTTTGGATCCAACAGGGTGCTCAATCCAGTATTGAAGGGAATATTTATATTTTTTTGGGGGGGGGTCACCAGTGAAAAGTCCGCTGACTGAACCTCAGGTTGATGTGGGACGAGATTTTTTCCTTGCGGCAGATGCTGTCAGACTTCAAAGACCAGCTGCTCTTCTGGTTTGGGCTGGAGGTCTAAGCGGTTTCTGAGCAGACCAACTGGATCCAAACATGGGGTACTGTATACCGAAATAAGATTGCAATTTGGATAGGTAAAATGATGGGTAACCAGAACAGTTTGTCGTGGATTTAGGGGTTTCTCTATATTTTAAGACATAACAAAAACCAATTGTTTGATAGTTCAAGTGATCACCATATTTTTTCAATCCATGGAAGAAAATGGCTGCGTACATTTGCGTACTCATGGAATCGTTCTTCGATGCATCTATGAACGGCATCCTCAATCTACCATGTCTTTGATCAACGACCTGGACTTGGAGACCACGAGATATGTGTGCTTGATTTGTTAAGGTCAAACCTCTTATTTCCCCAAGACGGTGTGTTTTTTTTCCTGGCCACCCCCACTGGCCCAAGAAGATGCTAGGAAAATATGGGAGAGTTCCATTAACCAATCAACCACCATCCTGCAGCAACTGCTGCTTAGGAATGACGAGCTGTGCAAGGGTCGTCGGCAACATGCCGACCTTTGCGATACGCAGCACCGGGAACTTTTGAAGCGACAGGTGGGAGGTTATGCTGCAAGATGGCGCTCAACAAGTGGTTCATACGGTTTTACAAACCCCCAAGAAACTCTTGGAAATATGTGGACATGGTATACACACATACTGTAATAATGATACATGCTATTATATAACAGTTTATATATATATCATGTAATATATAATATACATAGACATATATATATACATACATATGTACATGAAATTATATATATACACTATAAATCATAGCTATTGTTGTTATATTGTTGCTATAAAACAACACAGCAACCTACAATGCCTACCTTTTGGCTTTTGGGGCACCTTGTGCTTCATGGGCCCAGATGGGACCAGCCGGGACATTCCCTGGAATTCGTGATTTACCCAACAGGAATGGATGCACATGTATTTAGAGAATCCATATATATATATATTATAAATATATTATATATATAATAGATATGATAGAACATATTTGCACATCTAGTATCATCTAGTCATCTAGTAATCTCTTTCCAGAGTTCCCAGAGCCAACAGGTCCGCGCATCAGCCGCAGGCGCATTTGTTGCTGAACGAGCTCCGGGCAAAGGCGACGGCCTGCGGACATGCCTTGGAGGACGCTTGGTCCATGGGTCCCATCGTCCCAAGAGACTGATCCATCCAGCGCCGTGCAGGACATGGTTCCGGAACTCCGTGGCTCGGAGATCTATCGCTACCTCATCAAGGAGGACTCGGGCAAGTTGCTTGGGGTTGAAGGGCCTTGTGTCAAACAGATGGCATGTTGTAAACTCTGGACGTGGAATTATATGTTTTTTCTTGATGGATTGGAAAACATGGTTCCATGTTTTCTCCAGACTCCAAAGCGATCAGGTATACAGTGATGAGGATTCCAAGAGCAAAATCCTGGAGTTTGGTTTCTGTTTTTCTCCGAATTCAGGAGAAGAATTTCCCGAAAAGCACAGTATTCTGATCGGAAAACGTATGGCCTCTTGCAATGTTTTCCTCAAATCAACCCCGGCATGTGTAATGCGTGTCTGTGTTTGTGTATAGTCTAGATCCCTATTTGTTATTTGGGGAAATGTTTGGGGTTATGCAAACCTTTTAGTCCCCAGTTGTGGTATCATGGTGGTTCGGTGTACCTCCATTTCTTGAAGGGGCATTGGTCCTTGATGTAGACCACACCATACCCATTCTTGAAGGGGTGTGTTGGAAACAATACTCAAGTGGGATTTTCTACTACCCTGGATCCATGTCTCGCGCAAACGGGCTTGTATGGACTCAATGAATCCATACAAGTCATGATTAATGAAGTTTGTTTACAATAGATGTAGCGAATGTCAGTCTATCATATCACATCAATGATTAATTGGGGGTGTATACTATATCAGAATCATGTATCATACCTTTATATCTACTCTGCAAACGATTTGAATTGGATGTCGCATCCAACATATCGTACATGTATATGGATGGGTGGTATAATATATTTATATACATGCATATACAAGTCTAATAACTATATAGTCGAATCTAGTCACTAGTCAATATTATCTTTGGAAACATAAGTATTATATATATATATTATCAGTCACTATCATTAGAAAACAAAATCATATTGTGGTGGTAATAAGAATATATGTCAGTATTACTATCTAAGTCTACTACGTAAATCCTGATCATACAGGTAGTTAAAATATGTTAAAATAACAGAATAATCATCAAAAATATATAAGCAGAGTTTCATAAACAAACTCCAAATCTGTGTTTATTATCGGGTTAATCCCGCACCAATCGGTGTCTCCCCAAAGATGCTTAAGATTCGCCCTGCGCACGCCGAAGGTCGGCAAGGGATTCGTGGCGAAAGAGGGGTTGGTTGGATCCCCATAGTGCCCTATAAATAGCAAGGTTAGTTGAAAGCACGCCATGAACGGCCATATTAAAACCCATCTATAGTTAATTACCCTATATTTATTCCATGTAGTCAGATTATTTTCTCAGCTATAAACCTCCATAGTTCGGGGATTTCTATGCAATCGCCAGGTTCGATTCCCGTTGGTTTAAACTTATGAGTCCTAATTTTGCAGAAACGCCTGGAAACCAACATGTTGAAATTGAAATTTGTGTTTTTTTACCTTCTTGGTCTTGGAATCAGGTTTTTTAAACGCATTCCTAATTTAAGCGGTGTTTTGAACAGCCAGTTTCAAATCTCTGACTGTATCAATTGATGATCTTGAGAAGACAAAAACCTTCTCCGTCACCGTGCCACGGAAGGCAACAGTGAAGCCAACCCGGGCTGGCCCAAAATACAAAAAAGAAACACGAGCAAACCACATGAGCACCAGAAAAAAGCAGAAACAAACCAGAGACAGATTAGAATAAAAACAGAAAAGGACCAGAACACCAGAAAAACTAACAAACATGCCAAAACAAGACCTCAAACAAATACCATTTGCTTTTGAAATACCAGATCAAAACCTGTGCAGAATACCAGCACCTCTCCAACAAAAATGCAGTTTTTGTTTTTCAAATCTACATATAGTCATGGTTAGCTACCCATGCATAAACCACACACATATATATATATATATTTACAGACATACAGTATTCCCGTTGGTTTCAAGCCATGTTTACTTACCATAGACCACAGTTAACATGTAGTTATAGAAGTGTATAATTACATAGTTATAATGGTCATAAACTACACCTGTAAAATTTACAGGTGTAGTTTCTGACCATTATAACTTTATGTAATTAAGTTTATGTTCATTCATTTTATGCTCACCCATATATAAACTCTTATACCTTGTATATATATATATATGTTGTATGTATGTATGTATGTACGTATGTATGCACGTATGCATGCGTAGTTAAGTTATACCCTCTGGTAATTTGTTACATGGCTATTGAACATGGCCCAGTCGACATAGTGAGTTTTCCCATTAAAAATGGTGGATCTTTCCATAGTTTTTTGATGTTTTTTGTATGTTTACCAGAGGGTAATGGTCACAAACCATAGTTCACCTGGCAGGACGTGAATGGCGCTCCCCCGGCCACGCCCTCCACACGGCCCTCCACCGCTTCAACCAGATCTTGCACCACCCCGGACGCCGATGGGTAGCGGGCGGCATGGTGATGAAAACATTGGGATTTCTGAGGGTTATCATTGGAAGGAATCTAATTTAATAAATTTGTTCTACATGTCAATGATATTTTTCATGGGATGTAGTTGGAAGGATTTTCCGGGCCGGACTTGATGTTGGATGGGTATGTTAAAATAGGAAGATCTAATAGTTCGTTTTTTTGGTCCCTTTATTGTATGTCCCCCTGTTTTTTTAAATAAAATCTCCATAAATCTCCCCCTGCACAAAAAAATGAATTTTGTTCTTACTGTGATTCAGAAACCTTGGACTGTATGTGTTTGTGGATGGGCAATCACCACTCTTTTAAGGCTACTTTTCAGGGGGGCCATACCAAAAATGTAAGATACATTTTTTGGGACCCCCCTTAAATGTAAAATTCGTCGCTGAATATCCCTGAGGTGACGTTTTTGTGGGGAGTGTTTAAACAATACCTTCAAAATGTAAACTTACATTTTCAAGGTCCCCCTCAAAAACACCTTGAACAAATTGATTTTGCATTTGGGTGTGGTCCCCCTGCTAAAGGGGTACAGTAGTCATGATAGGCAGCATCAACCAGGTGAAAAGTAACACTTGGACACACCACATGCTGTGAATTTCATGTTTCAAGGTAATGCGAATTTGGAAAAAAAACAGTTTTACATGGGTTACATGGGTTTTACATGGGTTTTCGCGAAACTGCTGATCATTTCAGCAGTGATGCTCCTGGGATTTTTGTGGCTGAAACGAAATGCGAAATCCAGGACTTGATGCAGAATCTGGCCACACTCCCAGCGTTGCCAATGGGCAAAGCTTTAGGTCTTCGGGCAAAATGGAGGGGAAAAGGGTGGCTGGTTGCTATTAGTACCCTCTGGTAATTTAACATAGCTATTGAAAATGGCCATTTATAGTGGATTTTCCCATTAAAAATGGTGATTTTCCATAGCTATGTTAAACTACCAGAGGGTAACTGTTACTGTTAGTAGAAAATCCCGCCTATTTTCTTGAAGGGTCAGTGATTGACGGTCAATGTTGATTTCTCTTCTGGCTTGGCAAGAAGACTCCAGAATTTTTTACGTGTCTTCGCGAGGGGTTTTCGAAAGATCTTGATCTACTTTGGGGGGTCCCACGTTTCAGAAAAAGAACCAATGGCCATTTCAGATATAAGGGAATGTCCCCACAAAATATGGCCAAAAATATGGCCCAAAATATGGTACTAACGTACCTCCATTTTAGAATCCTGAAATTTCCATTGACAAAAACCCTGGGATGTGAAGACATTGAGGAAATCCACCGATTGCACCCGAGGATTAGATGACCTGGATGATGTGGCATCGGGCATCAGGGAGGCTCTGGAAGCAGAGCATCAGTGGCTTCTAGCGATCATCGAGGAGGCCTGGTATGGCCTGGTGGGCCGCCGGCTCCGCCAACAACAAAAACCATGGACAACATGGGAGTTGGATCAGATTTTTTGATGGGGATGATGGGGGATGATGGGAGATGTAAAGCTGTTACCCTCTGGTAATTTAACGTAGCTATTGAAAATCACCATTAATAGTGGATTTTCCCATTAAAAATGGTGATTTTCAATAGCTACGTTAAATTACCAGAGGGTAACTGTTAAATGCTGTTAAGCTCCGAGGGTTCGGCAACTTTGAGGTGATTTGAGGCCCTGTTGGCTTTGATCCGCTGGTGCAGTACATATGTTCATCATATATTCACCGTTACAACAGAAACATACATCTGGATGGTTGCGAAACCCTGCACCAGTTGATAGATGGTTTATAGCATAATTATTTATAGGATTATATCAATGGGAATTCCAGAAGGCCATATTTTCTGGGGATATTCCCTTACATAGGCCTTATATAGGCCTTATATATGTTAGGTACATCCAATGTAGGATCCTGGAATGGCCATTGAATTATAGGGTTTCAACATGTTTCAACGATCCAAGGTGATGATGAATGAAGATATGATGAATTTTCCACACCAGATCGCTGTGGAATTCACCACCGATGTGGTACTGGTAAACCCAGATGGAGACCAATCCCCAATTTACCCTCTGGTAAGCTAACATAGCTATGGAAAGTCACCATCTTTAATAGGTAAATCAACTATAAATGGGCAATTTGCAATAGCTTTGTTAAATTACCAGAGGGTAGATTTTGAACCATGCCCATCATAGATGTCCTTTCTCCACTGTCCAGCTGGTTGATTAGTAATTTATTTAAAGGGCGACCACATTTTCCATAGCCAAACAACAAATGGTATACCCAAAGCTTTTTTTTACAGCAGCCCGAGCCTATTTTCCCAACAAGATTGATACCCAAAAAGATTGACGAGTAATACTCTTTTGGTTTTTTCGAACTGCATTTGCGTTCTATTCTTTTTTTGGGTCGGGTTGCTGAAAGAATATACACCCATGAATACACAAACATATTCATATATATATATTATACATATATGAACATGATTGTGTATGAATATATCACCGTTCTATTCCCATTAAATCCGTATCATATGACCATATTATAGTTGGTTTAGCTCGTTGTTGCTGAAGTGAACACGTTGGATCATTTATATAAATCCAAATGGTATAAGTCCACCCGCTCGCCGCGCTCGCCTTCAACTTTTGTTGAACTCTTCATGATGATGGAGAGAAATATCATTGAGTCATGTAGTCTCATATACTCCATGACTCTGAATCTTTAGTCATATTAAGTACCATGAATATTTTATCCATTAAATGATATGTATATATTATTTCGCAATAATCCATGACATACAAACCATATTATATAAGTCCCCATAGTCGTTCCTTTCATCAGGAGTACCAGTTCCTCTCCTTCGAAGAGCAGCGCCGAGTGGCTGCAACCGGGAGTCGATGGGGGGAGCCCTCCACAGCAGAACTGAAGCAGTTCCTCCATAGGCTGCAGGAGATCGTTTTCTTGGCAGAGAACGGAAGGGTTGGAAGGGTTGGAAGGGCTGAAGGAATCAAGAAATATCAAAAAATTAGATGAAATTGGGGGGTTAAGCTGGTTTAGCACTGTTTAACCGTTTAACATCCTTTAACCATCAAACATCGTGTGTTTCAGGGGGGAAAGCTGATTTGACTCTGTTTGACCATCAAACATTGTGGCTTGACATGATTTAACAAGGTTTTACTATCTTGAAATGGTGACAATCATAGAGGATAGTGATTCAATACCTCTAACAGGGCATGGCAAATTGAATAACTCGAAAACTAAACCAACGTTTGATTGGGGGATGTTGCATGTTGGGGCGGATCTATGTTGGAACCCCCCTTCCCCCTAGCACAGCATGGGGCTCTGATCGATCAGCACATGTTTGAGTCATGGGAATAAGGTTGCAGCACATGATTGCCCGAGATGACCGGCTGGTGGTTGAACAAAACTGGCGGCATTTGCCAAGAACACATGTGAAGCACCATTCAATAGAACCAATCAGAGTGACTGGTAGCTTCACAACAGTCTTACTTCCCATCCTCAAGCATAGGATGAGAATTTCGCTATGAATCATAATGAATCACGACAATGTTTGGTGTAAGCTTCAGGCCCCACAAAGTGCTTAGTTAAAGTCCCACGGCTGGGTTTGCAGATGAGTGTGCTCGGTTGCTGTCCCTGTGCTAGTGGTATTTTAATGATGTAAAGCATGGTAAAGCCAATAAGAAACCATTCTCGATAGAGGATTATTTTTGGGGCTCCATCTGAGGTACCCTCTGGTAATTTAACAGTTTGCTATTGAACATGGTCATTGAAATAGTGGATTTACCCATTGAAAATGGTGATTTTCAATAGTTATATGTTAAATTACCAGAGGGTATTGAAGATAATGTAAAATGATCCCCAGTCATGGTTGGAATAAAACTGATGGTAAACCATGGCGTTTTTGGTATGCCACCATGCCAGATGTCTTATGGGGGATCGACTCAAGTCATGGGGCTCATTTTTTTTTAATGGTCTAATTTGGGATTAAATAGGGTACCCTCCATGACTTAGGAAACCTCCAGAATGAGCAGGCTTGCATCCATTCTAAAACGATGAGCCATACAGAGATTGACCTGAAAATGGAATCACGGAAGATGGGACACATAGCCGGTGTACAACAAAAGGAGGTGGAATTTCCTCGCTTAGCATCCCCAGTTGGAGACGTTCTTGTCCAGATTGTGGTTCCAGTTGGCGGGGATCAAAATCCCCATAAAATCCCCATAATATCCACAATATGGCTTTGAGCAATTCTGAACATAGGGTGACGTGACGTATTTTCCATTAATGTCAATGAATATCCATTTGATCACCTCAACTCTTCGAAAAAAAGCTGGTGGAAGCGGCCCCACTGAGGCTAGCTCCCCCAGCCTCCGCACCCTGTCCTTGACGGAGGGCGGTTCCAAAGCCGACGCTCCCTCGCTGGGGGGTGCGAACATTCGACGCTTGCAGGTGTGGCGCTGTTTTTGTGTCATGAAGTTTGTCCAGCATTTCTGTTGTTTCGCGTCAGGTAGTTTTTGCTGCAATTTTCAACTCATTTGAAGATTTGGATGTCAGCCGACCTCAAACTTAAGATCTATTCTGGTGTCATGAAGCTATTGGCTGGAAGCGTACTTCATATATGGCTACTTGATATTACTTGATGCTCTTTGCACATTTTCACGAAAGCACAGGATTTCTGATTCAAAGATGCTAAATCCAGACAGTCTCACTGCGCTTCCCAAATCTCCCTGGGTAAGAGATCAGCCAAATATGGTGAACATTGCCAGCCTAGATCATGGAGAAGAATTGCGCCCTCAGATCTCCGGTGTCCCATGGTGTCCCGTTTCTCACCAAGACTTGAGAAAAACCAGTTAGTGAAAAATCATAATATGATTAGTATATATGAAACAAGTATGGATGATATAGTACATGTATGCATGATACACCTAAATTATATGATGCACAAAAAGGAAGCTTGAATATTTATCGGAATATCAAAGCTGTCCATCGCTATTCTTGGCTTGGATGTCTTGGGTGTACATCCGGGTTTCTTTGGAAATAGGTTTCCCCCAATTCCAACGGAATTACCAATGAGTTTCCACCTCACAGTTGCCATCGTTTTTGATGGTTAAATCCACAGCCTTTAATGAGTGAATCCCATTTGGTTGGTCATATCCTTCTTTTTGGGGCTGACCAAAACCCAATCATCATCATCGTCATCATCATCATCATCATCATCCTCATCCTCATCCCCATCCTCATCCTCGTCCTCATCTTCTTTTTTCTTCATCATCATCATCATCCTCATCATCATCCTGATCATCGTCATCGTCATCGTCACCATCACCATCACCATCACCATTGTCATCGTGATCGTCATCATCATCATCGTCATCGTCATCGTAACCATCACCATCACCATCACCATTGTCATCGTAATCGTCATCATCATCATCATCATCATCATCATCGTCATCGTCATCATCGTCATCGTCATCGTCACCATCACCATCGTCATCGTCATCGTCATCGTCATCCTCCTCATCAGCATCATCATCTTCATCATCATCATCATCATCATCATCTTCTTCTTCTTCTTCTTCGTCATCGTCATCGTCATCATCATCATCATCATCATCATAATAATCATCATCATCCTTATCGTCGTCATCATCATCATCATCATCATCATCATCATCGTCATCGTCATCGTCATCATCATCATCATCATCATCAGCCTTATCCTCATCCTCATCCTCATCATCCTCATCCTCATCAATATACATATATATGTATATATGTAATATACATATCATTCATATCCCATTACAAGTCTCATTATAAGTCTCATTACAAGTGGATATGTCATACAATCATGGTGGGTGATAGGGGTTATAGCTCAGTTTGTGGTGGCTTTACCCTTTGGTAAACCAACATAACTATGGAAAATCACCATTTTTAATGGGTAAATCAACTATTTCAATGGCCATTTTGAATAGCAAACTGTTAAATTCCCAGAGGCTAACAATTGCTACTCGTATAGCCAGTAAAAACCTCCAGCCTGCACCAGGCCTTGATCTCTATGAGGCGACATGGTGGCTTCCTGCATACCGTGGAGGACGCGGCTTCGCGTTGATGGAGTAGATTCACCAGTTTCTTCATTGTCATTTCATGGGAGTTCAAAGAAAAATCGGATGTGAGAAGGAACTTAATGGGATGCGATGACACATTATTAATTATGGGATTTACTGATTTACTGTAGGCATATCATGGGATACATAACCAACAATAGGACGCTGTGTGGAAATTGGAGATTGGCCCCTAATTTATGGCAATTCCAATAGGGGATAGTGAGGATCAGAAATTTAAGGGCCTATTTTCTCAGACAAACCTAAATAGGGGTATACATATATATGTTTTTTCCAGTTGTGACACGCAAGTGGGTTTCCTGTTGCAACTGGCATGGCATGGGGGATGACCCTCATGAAATTGAGGAGAACAACTCCGTTCCGGATCCTTCGGCGGTGACCTTTGGGCCAACAGTGATCGGCCCCAACAGTCAAGAGTTTGATCCCTTCTTCGGCGACCCCATTTGAGCAGTGACCAGATGTGACCAGGTCGCCCACGGGAGAAAAGAATGGAATTTGCTGTAGATGATGATGTTCCCTTGTATCTCAACATATGTTTAGGAAAAAAACAATTGAAAGTCATATCAGCTGGTTAAAGCATGTGAAAGCCCAATTAGTTCTGGTTACATCATAAGGCTACATCATAATACATCATAAAGTTCATAACAATCATTAATATATGATTGTTGACGAGTAGATTTGGATGATGGTGCTAGCAACCCAAAGAAGTCAACTTTTTGGAGTGATGTTGATTTATTTGCTTGCTTTGGCCACTGCTCATGTAGCAGCTGTGACTTTTGACCCCGTTTGTGGAGGCATGTGATTGTAGTGCAGCAAGATGTACTTTCAATGCGAAGGTGACAAGGATAAATTGATGTACCGTGCGGACTGGTTTAAAGGGCACTTGCCCGTCGTAGGATAACCAAGAAGAGCCGCATGTTGCCCTGAAATTGGGTTTCCAGGAGTTGGGCTTTCCAAACAATTGCACTTGAAATACCCTCTTGTTATTTAACAGTTTGCTATGGAAGCCATGGCCCGCAAAAATAGATGGGAAAAATGATGTTTTACCTATTGAAATGGTGATTTTCCAAAGCTCCCTTAATTAACCAGAGAGCACAGTATGCCGTGCAATAGTTATATAAATCATATAATTATATATATATACAAGTCTGCATATGTGCAGATGCATCAACTTATATGTGCAGATGCAATGCATGATGGTAGTTGTATAGCCACCTTAGACCCTGGAAGACCCATAGAAGTAGAGGGAAAATGTTGGAACATCATCTTGATCATACTGCAATGATGGTCTCGGATCTAGAACTTTAAGATCTGGGATCATGCGTGATTTGTGTGCCCAAGAATCACTTCAGACGGGTTCCAAAGGCTGAGAATGTCGCAGCGCAAGAGGCAGTATCAACGACCAGAGTTCCTGGGGTTGTTGGCCCCACACAGAAACCTGAAGGTGAAGTTAAAGCATGATAGACACCATATTTGTCCGTATTTATATTGGCATTATTTATTGGCATTATTTAAACGCATGCACAAGCACATGTCTATATATATATATATTCATATAGCATACATTTATGTATATTAATATATTAATGTATCACAATAATAGCAATAGTCTGTATACAAATGATAATAACAATACTAATTGGAAGTCGACCACAGGCCCCCCTATGGCCATATGACTGTTGAATTCTTTGGTGAAATCTTGCCAGCCCAAAGGAGTAAACCATCTGCAAACCATCTATCATAGAAAATTGGTGAAAATCGCCCACGCATTTATATAATATATATTATAATATATATATATATGAGTTACCCATCAAAAATGGCGATTTTCCATCGCAAACTATTCAATTACCAGAGGGAAAACATGAACAAAAAACCGCCGGACCAGACCGGCGCGAATGGGGTCGTGCTTCGTGCCTCTGCTGTGAAGCAGTGCATGGTTTCACCTTTTCACCAACGGCATCAACTGGAAAATTGATGGCTGCGCTGCCAAGGGGGCATTCAATCGTCCTCTATCCATGACAGCAAGTTAGGTAGAAACGAAGAATATAGCCCATAGGATCCATGTATGCTATATATGGTAACATTTACCATCAATATACCCCAAATGTTAGCATACCATACATGGATCCTATGGGTAGGGGAATTTCATTGCGTTGATTTGATTTCGGGGGGAGGTATAGTACAAGTAGGGCGGTTTGCAGCTGTGGAGAGTTGGAGCAGCTTTAGCTGCTTGGCCTATGATTTCTGGCAGTGCATCACAGATTTTTTCAATGACTGGCCCGTTCTTACCTTTACGTAGTAAGACTTGTGACATCTTGTGACCCATTTGGGCTTGTCAGAACATTGGGCACTGGTATGGCTGCCATTTTCAGACAGCCATTTTGTTGCACTTCATGAGGCCGAAGCTGCCATATCAACGAATCGTAATTGTGTGCGGTCATGATTGAGCATGGTTCAACAGAGTACCAGTAGACCATTAGTACCCTCTGGTAAGTTAACATATTAAACTATGGAAAATCACAATTTTCAATGGGTAAATCCACTATTTCAATGGCCATGGCTTCAATAGCAAACTGTAATTCTGCAGAGGGTAGACGTAGTAGACATTAGTAGACCATGACCGCAGGATCCCAAACCCTTCAAGTGCCGCCAGTCTTTTGCGGCCTCCAGTGGTTCCAAGAAATAAACCTCGCGCAGGTTGTCAGGTGTACGGCCATTCGAAGTCTTCTTTGCGCAAATGCCACTTGGGTATTAGTGGTTGAACCATGGTTTTTCACATGGATAGGTTGAACATGGTATAACTATGTATAACTTACGGGTATCACATGGTTTTTCACCATGACATGGTTGAAGCATGTTGTTCACCACCACGAAGCAACCACCATGGTCCACGGAGTCCACGGAGTCCAGCAAACCTTTGCATCCCTAGCTACTATGGATCCGGCTTATGACTGGAAGATTGAGACTGTTAACATGGTTTTGTTTGGTTTAAGATCATCTACTGATAGATCATTGATGATCATTGGCGGTTTCATTGCAGTAGGAGAAGGGGTTCAGAGAAACCACGCAAGCCTCTAAGCCTCTAAGCGCCTAAGCCTCTAAACGCAAAGAGACTGGGCAAAAGCGCATAAGCCTCTAAGCCTCTAAGCGCCTAAGCCTCTAAGCGCAAAGAGACTGGGCACAAGCGCATAAGCCTTTAAGCGCCTAAGCCTCTAAGCGAAAGAGACTGGGCAAAAGCGCATAAGCCTCTAAGCCTCTAAGCGCCTAAGCCTCTAAACGCAAAGAGACTGGGCAAAAGCGCATAAGCCTCTAAGCCTCTAAGCGCCTAAGCCTCTAAGCGCAAAGAGACTGGGCACAAGCGCATAAGCCTTTAAGCGCCTAAGCGCCTAAGCCTCTAAGCGAAAGAGACTGGGCAAAAGCGCATAAGCCTCTAAGCCTCTAAGCGCCTAAGCCTCTAAACGCAAAGAGACTGGGCAAAAGCGCATAAGCCTCTAAGCATCTAAGCGCCTAAGCCTCTAAGCGCAAAGAGACTGGGCAAAAGCGCATAAGCCTCTAAGCGCCTAAGCGCCTAAGCCTCTAAGCGAAAGAGACTGGGCAAAAGCGCATAAGCCTCTAAGCGCCTAAGCCTCTAAACGCAAAGAGACTGGGCAAAAGCGCATAAGCCTCGAAGCCTCTAAGCGCCTAAGCCTCTAAGCGCAAAGAGACTGGGCAAAAGCGCATAAGCCTCTAAGCGCCTAAGCGCCTAAGCCTCTAAGCGAAAGAGACTGGGCAAAAGCGCATAAGCCTCTAAGCCTGCGCCTAAGCCTCTAAACGCAAAGAGACTGGGCAAAAGCGCATAAGCCTCTAAGCCTCTAAGCGCCTAAGCCTCTAAGCGCAAAGAGACTGGGCAAGACCGCATAAGCCTCTAAGCCTCTAAGCGCCTAAGCCTCTAAGCGCAGAGAGACTGGGCAAAAGCGCATAAGCCTCTAAGCCTCTAAGCGCCAAAGCCTCTAAGCCTCTAAGCGAAAGAGACTGGGCAAAAGCGCATAAGCCTCTAAGCCTCTAAGCGCCTAAGCCTCTAAGCGCCTAAGCCTCTAAGCGCCTAAGCGCCTAAGACCAGCGCATAAGCGCCTAAGCGCCTAAACGCCTAAGACCAGCGCGTAAGCGCCTAAGCGCCTAAGCGCCTAAGACCAGCGCCTAAGCGCCTAAGCGCCTAAGCGCCTAAGCGCCTAAGACCAGCGTATAAGCCGCATAAGCGCCTAAGCGCTCAGCGCCCCAGACCAGTCCATAAGCGCATAAGCGCCTACGCGCCTAAGACCAAACCAGGGCTTGAACGAAAGAGATGCCTGAAACGAAAGAAGAGCATACAGAGACGAACGAAGGACTTCGAACGAAAGTCTGGAGGAGTCCAACGAAAGAGCGAGGATTTCAAACGAATGAGAGGAGTCGAACGAACAAGACAGGACTTGAACGAAAGAGAGCTCTCAAACGAAAAAAGAGCAGAGAGAAACGAAAGAAGTACTTCGAACGAAAGCCAGCAGGAGTCCAACGAAAGGGAGAGGTTGCAAACCAATGAGAGGATTCGAACGAACAAGAAAGGACTGGAACGAAAGAGAGGCCTGAAAAGAACAAAAAGAGCATAGAGAAACGAAAGAAAGACTTCCAACGAAAGTCAGCAGGAGTCCCACGAAAGAGAGAGGTTTTCAAACGAATGAGAGGAGTCGAACGAACAAGATAGGACTTGAACGAAAGAGAGGCCTGAAACGAAAAAAGAGCAGAGAGAAACGAAAGAAGGACTTCGAACGAAAGCCAGCAGGAGTCCAACGAAAGAGAGAAGATTTCAAACGAATGAGAGGAGTCGAACGAACAAGATAGGACTTGACGAAAGAGAGGCCTGAAACGACAAAAGAGCAGAGAGAAACGAAAGAAGGACTTCAAACGAAAGCCAGCAGGAGTCCAACGAAAGAGAGCGGTTGCAAACGAATGAGAGGAGTCGAACGAACAAGACAGGACTTGAACGAAAGAGAGGTCTCAAACGAAAAAAGAGCAGAGAGAAACGAAAGAAGACTTCGAACGAAAGTCAGCCGGAGTCCAACGACAGGGAGAGGTTTCGAACGAATGAGAGGAGCCGAACGAACAAGACAGGACTTGAACGCAAGAGAGCTCTCAAACGAAAAAAGAGTAGAGAGAAACGAAAGAAGACTTCGAACGAAAGCCACTTGAACGAAAGAGACGTCTCAAACGAAAAGAAAGCAAAGAGAAACGAAAGAAGACTTCGAACGAAAGTCAGCAGGAGTCCAACGAGAGAGAGAGGATTTCAAACGAATGAGAGGAGTCGAACGAACAAGGCAGGACTTGAACGAAAGAGAGGTCTCAAACGAAAAACGAGCAGAGAGAAACGAAAGAATTACTTCGAACGAAAGGCAGCAGGAGTCCAACGAAAGGGAGAGGTTGCAAACGAATGA